TTTCTTTCTTTGTGTGATAGAGTTATGGACCCAAATTTCTCTCTCTGTGCAAATCACCACCACATTGCACGATACCATTTATTTAAAGGCAAGCTTAGCTATTTGGAAGACTGTATTTCAAACACACTTTAATATATTTTGTTCTATTTCTCGGCTTGCTATTCTCTCCATTAGCCTATGATCCACAATACCACGATGTTTTATTTACAGAGAGCATCCGATATGTTTTAATAGTTGATAGAGCTAGTCTTTCTCATTGTTCTTCTGCTTTGAGCGCGAATGCCCTTTTTCATCAGTGCGCGTTTGCAGCACATGCGGCTCGGGGTCACCTGGAGGAGCGGGTACGCACCTAACACAGCTGGCTTCTCTTCCCGGCCAGCCTCCTCTCACCCCACGTTCCCCTTTGCGTTCTTGTTGCTATTCGTAGTCTTAGCACCTGCTTACGAGATTCCAGGTTTACATTCATGTCTGCACTCTTACAGCTGCCCTTGCAAGTTTGTTCTTATGTGAATCTTGCCATGCTCAGACGCACTTACCAATGTGTGATTAAATGTGTGTCCTCCCGCAGGAGGACAGGAAGTCCAGGCCATGAGCGAGGGACTCCTTCCGATGTCCACACCCATGGGAGTGTCAGCAGTGCCCAACATCTTCTTGTGCAATGTAATCCTAACTTTGCTGCCTTTTTTTGTTGCTGTTCTTACAGTGGTGTCTTTTAAAAGCACATCTGCTATGACTAACATTTAAAATATCAAAAGCCATTTCTCTGGGTGCATTTCAGTAAAAATATGTTAAATCTTTCCCCCAGGACCGGTGGGTACCCCAAAGGAGACGAAACACAAAATTCATGCATCATACTTGAGAAGACAAAAATACAGAATCTTTGTACTTTGAAAATGAGTGCACTTATTTTCCAAGGCTCCTTTTGGAAAATTTCAGCACCAGAATAGCGCCTGCTAGCCTGTCACGTTGTGAGCTTTGGCAGAGGGAGGTGACATCTCTGCGGAGAACGGGGGCTGCAGAGCCACCCTGCCATGCATCTGAATGTGCAATTGTCTGCACATCATTAACGCCTGCATTACCAGCGCAGAAACAGCCTCTCCCGTTAGCGGCTCTCCTGGAAGAGTTGTCGTTTCAAACCATCAACCAGTTTACTTTGCACAAATCATGAATTTTCTCCATTTCAGATATTTTACTATCTCAGAAAAAGGGAAATTTCTTTCACCTTATTCGTTCCTTGCCCACCATCCACAGCTGGTAAATATTTCAGAAAGACAGACGAATGGAAACAGCTCTGGCTTTGGAGACAGAAGACCCTGAAGGGCGTCCTGGTCCTGCTGCGCCCTCTGAGCAGCCCACTTCCACTTCCTTCAGACTCTGCTGGGAGGGAAGAGGGGGAAAGTGCTTTCTGCTCTGTGTTCAGGTCCTTGGAGCTGGCCTGGAGAGGAGAACGCTGGTGAGAGCAGGGGCTCTGCCGAGGGAACTGGGGCAGAACAAAGGAAAACAAATGTAACACTTGGGGAAATGTTGACCCACACTGAGAGACAGATTATTTGATTTCTTTCCCTGAGTTGCAGGAGCATCTTGTACATTTGGACATCAACCCCCTCCCCAAGAGATATCCTTTCCCCTTCTATAGAGCTCCTCTTCCATTTGTCAGCCAAACGTGGTGGCCCACGTCTGTCATTCTAGCACTCTGGGAGGCTGAGGTGGGAGAGTCACAAGTTCAAGCCCAGCCTGGACAATTCAGTGACTTGGCAAGACCCTGTCTCCAAACCAAAAATAGAAAAAGGGCTGGGGATGTAACTCACCGTGAAGGCCTAGATTCAATCCCCAGTGCTACGGAAAAACAAAACAATAACAGCAGAACATAGAGGAGGTATCCGCGTTCTCTTGTGTTCTAAAGCACTGCAGCCAAGACGCGGAAACAACGCCAACATCCACGGACACGGACGGATACAGAACACGCAGGACGTGAGGTCTGTACAGCCTTCAGAAGGAAGAAACTACATTTGTGGCAAAAGGAGGAGCCCGGGGGCGTAACGGTGACTGGATAAGCCAGAGAGGGCCCGTTGACGCTGACAGGCGCCATGAAAGACAGACACTGCCTGGGGAGCAGACTGGAAAGGGACGGGCGGGGAGTGGGGTTCGGTGGGAGTGAGTTCTGGTCGCGCAGAATGGGTCAGTTCTGGAGGCCCTGTGTGCAGCATGTGCAGCTGATAGTGCGGTGCACTGAGTTAAGGACTCGGAGCTCGTGCTGCGCTTCTCCCATGGGCGTCGTCGTCACCATGACACAAGCGGGGCAGAAGCACAGGGGTCTCGGAGGCGATGGCCGTGGCTGGAGCCCAAGGGGATGGTCATGTCACGAGGAGGTCGCATCTGCTCATGCAGTGAGGCCCAGGGCACGCGTGCTGCCAAGTTCTGGAGGCCCTGTGTGCAGCATGTACAGCTGATAGTGCGGTGCACTGAGTTAAGGACTCGGAGCTCGCGCTGCGCTTCTCCCACGGGCGTCGTCGTCACCATGACACAAGGGCGGCAGAAGCACAGGGGTCTCGGAGGCGATGGCCGTGGCTGGAGCCCACGGGGATGGTCATGTCACGAGGAGGTCGCATCTGCTCATGCAGTGAGGCCCAGGGCACGCGTGCTGCCCGCCTCGCTGGAGCTGCAGCAGGAGCGCTGGGCGCCACACAGCGGGGCAGCTCCCCTACAGCCAGGCACAGGTCCGGGGCAAGAAGACTGCTAAAGTGCCAGGGCTGTGGTACCGAGGCTCCGACCCTGGTAAATGCTGCATAAATTCTGATTTTCTTCCTTTTCCTAATGCACAGGAATGCAACACCATCATCACCTGCCTTAAAAATCCGGGAACCCCATGCAGAATTAAAATCTTCCCAGTACAGCTTTGGGAGGCGGAGTGTTTTCGGGTCGCGCGGAGCATTCCAGGGACCGCTGTCCAGACTGCGCCGCAGCCCAGCGCCTGCCGGGAAGGGAAGCGGGTAGTGGGGATCAGGCCCGCTTCCCCCCACCCCGCCCAGGGCCTAGGCCGGCTTCACCCGCGGGGCCTGCGCCCTTCTTTCTCTTCGTCCTAAGGCATCGGCGACACCTGCTGGCAGCGTCCCACCGTGCAGCACCTCAGCCTAGATTTCTGCCTAACTCGCATTTCCTTAAAAGTTGCACAAGAAAGGAACATTTGAAGAGCAAACCGTGCCTGGGCTGAGCAGGAAGCGCACTCTTGGGGGGCACAGGCGCTGAGCTCATCCCGGGAAAGCGCAGGCTGCAATTGTCTTGCTGAAGGACACTTGTGAAAGGGCACAATCGTGCTTCTCGCGCAGACGTAGAACAGCTTTGTGTGTTGTTTTTGTCTGATTTCTTTTGTGTCTGACAGCAAGTAGGACCTCCGAATGCTTAAAAACAAGCCAGCACTCGGCTCAGGAGTCCAGGTGGGTGGTGGGAGAAAGGTCCCCGGATCCGGCGCTCCCCACCGCCCTGGGGAGCCACTGAGGCCCTACAGGGGAGCGACGCGATCAAGTCGGGGCCCAGGAGGTCCATGGGCGCCCAGGTGGGGTAAGGTGAGGGGCAGAGGGAGGCAGGTCAAGGCCCAGCCAGGGTGAGGGAGAACCGTGAGGGCAGCGCCGGAGGGAGGGGCCAGCCTCGCCCCTCTTACCCAGCGTGTTCTCCTTACACAGCACCCGCGCCAGGCTGGAGCCGGGACATGAACAGGGCGTCTCGGTCCCGCCTCGCCCTGCCACCGTCACCCCAGGTCCCTGCAGGCCCCAGGCCTGGGAAAGCACGGCAGTCACGGCTTACAGGAGGTGTGAACAGAACACACGTAGTATGCGTAACCTTAAGAATAAATCACTATGGCCAGGGGTCCACAGCCACGCATCTCCCTCGAAACCCGAAACCTTCCCCTGCCCTTCGAACACATGCATCCCACAGGTCTCGCTCTGGCATCCTCTTCGGTGGGGCGGGGGGCTGTGTGGCTGCCTCGACGTCCTGAATTGATCCAAAATATTCACCTTTCCTGGTCATTTTGACTTTGGGGAGGATCCAGAAATCGCACGGTGCCAGATCCAGGGAATAAGGTGGAGGAGCACGCAGAGTCCTGCTCTACCAGCCTGCTTTTCCTTGGACGGTGCTGGGCAGCAGCAGTCACTGCATTTTTGATCGCACGTCATAAAGTCTCAGGAGAGAGCTGTGCAGGCGGAGCAAGGACGATGGGATCGGATGGCTGTGTTCAAAGGGAGCGGCCTTTCGAGGGGGTTCGTGGCCATGTGTCTCTCGCTGTAATGAACTTTTCAAATGTCGACACTGCATTTCTGACACAGGAACGACAGCCGGTGCTGTGTGAGGACAGAGTCACCCCCTTGCTCTCCGAGGCTCCAGCCCTCCTGCGTCCCCACTTAGCAGGAGGAAGAGGAGGAGGCCGGGTGTCAGCAGCCAGAGGGCGTGAAAAGTGTGCACAGCGATGATTTTAATGTATTTACTTCTTCCTGGTATTTCTTCATATATTTTACCTTTTCTATAATGAATAATATTAAATAGTTTTTAAACCTTAAAAATAGAAACACTGGCTTTCCCTTCTCAGCGCTTTTCAAGTATCCTGGTATCGCTTCCCCCTCTAGTGGCGGAAGCGAGGAAGTACAGGGGTGACATAGACTCCCACTTAGTGTGGGAGCCGCAGAGGTGCTGAGGCAGGCTGGGGTTACCAAGTCACCAGCACCCCCGCCACCCATCTTGCTGAGGCTCCTGCAGTCCTCTCTCCCGGAGCGAAGGGCAGCCCTGGGGTGTGACTGGGGGTTCCCATCCCCATGCCACCCCGGAGTTTTCAAAAGAGAATAGGAGAGAGTAAGCTATGGCGAGAGTGGCCTGCTGGGTTCTCCAGTGACCCCGGCGTCCATCTTCGGGGAGGCACACACTCGCGAGGAGGCACAGTGCAGAGGCTAGGAGCATGCTCACTGCAGGACAGCACTTCCGGGTCTGGGCCCAGCCCACACTAGTCCCTTACCCTCTCCAGTGCTGGTTTTCCATTGGCCAGCGGGAGTCACTGCTGTTTCCACAGAAGCTGTTTGGAAGGAACACATGAGTTAGTCTCTGAAGAACTTGGGGCAGCTCTGGGAGGAGCTAAGTACCGTCTGCAGGATGAAATCCACAAGGAAAAGGGCAAAGGTCTCGTTTCCGTCTGGCTGACCCTCCGGAGAGAGCCCACAGACCCTCTACCAGCCAGGGAGGAGCAGACGGGGCAGGTGAGGTGGCCGCTGATTAAAGTTCCAGTGTTTGGACAGAATATTTAAGAAGAAACCCTGTTATGAGAAATGCTGGAAGAGAGTTTCTATGCTGGACATGGAAACGACACCGGTAAGACTATCCACGAGGCTAAGGGCAGGGACACAGGGCCCCTGTGGGCAGGAGGCCAACGTCAGAGCCTGAAAGCTCAGGGCAGGTGGGAGGGAGGGGAAGGGAGGCACTGCGTGGAGGACCCCGGAGAGTGATGGTGTGGGCCTGGGCTGTGGGCTCACCCGAGGACCCAGGGGAAGCACCTGTGCCGGAAAGGACGCCTGAGGGGCAGTGTCGGCCACTGCTCCAGGGACACCGGGTACGGGTGAGCCAGCCTGGCGGCTGCTCACTGAGGTAAAAGTCACTTTTGTGTGCATGGTTTGACTTCATAATGTAGTGCTGATCGAAACCTTGCAGATGAGCAAAGAAACGGAAGTTCAGTCCATGTGGCCTTTGCTAAAGAACAAAGGAGCCGAGACAGATTCATCTCAAAGTGGAATCATTAGAAAAGGAGTTAGGTCAAAGGCAAACATGGCGCTAAACAAAAACAGCTGCCCTTGACCGGGGCAGTTTCTCGGGTCACCTTGGTTTTCTCACCCTAAGCCTCCTGGGCAGTACTGGTCAGCATTATTGCAGGACAACCCTGTGTGGAATCTCTGGGATGCATTTCCTCACCGCTCAGTCCCAGGGACACCAGGTGACACAGGTGAGGTGAGCCCCGCGTCACACCCTGTATATATGGTTTGTGGCCGGCGATGTCGACCTTGAGCCTCTGGAGAAGTAGTGTGAAGAAGTCCGCTGCCCCCACTCGCCTCTGGCTGAGCTGCCGCTGGGGGAGGAAATCCCACTGCAGGCCCCAGTGCAGGTGTGGGTGGCTTTGGGCCACCTCCTTGCAGGTGGGCCTGGCTGTGTAACGTGTCTGGAATTTTTCCATACAGGAGATCACCACTTCTTCCTCATGCTTGTACAGTGACTCAGTCATTTATTTATGTTCATATGAGTCTGTGGCTGTCTGCTGAATTTAATTTTAGTTTTTGTGTGCAGGACAGCCTTAACTGATTTTTATGGCATTTGTTTTATGCTTTGAGTCACAACCTGACGCAGACTCTGAGTGACTATGAAGATGTTACCTGTCTGTGAGCCCATCACTGTGGAAAATATCACAAGCCAACATTTGTAATTCCTGCACACCCAATTCTACATGCAATACGCCTGGTATCACTGCCGTACGTCCTCACAGGCCCTGTCACCAGCCCACTAGGCCAAGGCCACTCTCCTGGGAAGATCAAGACTAGAAGTCCAGCACGCTTCTGCTGGACGTAAGGTACCTTCACTCTACAGCAAAGCCAGAGAAGCCTCCTCAGATCGTTCTGTCGGGGACTTTCTGTGCAGCCTGCTCCACTCTGGGCTCAGTTGTTCCAGCGCGGGGGGTGGGGGGGCTTTTCCCGCTGGCTCTGTGTGAACGTGTGAGTTGCCACAGACTTGGCGGCCTGAGCAACACAAGCGCACTCACTTGCTCTTCTGCAGCAGGAAGTCCGTGGTCGGCTCCCTGGGGAGATACGAAGTGTCAGCCAAGCTCTGCATCCTGGGAGGAAGCCCCTGCTCTCCCGGTCCTGGGCAGCTGCGTCCCTCCACCACCCCCTCCACTCCGGGCTGCACAGGTCCCTCTCCTGCTGGACCTGTGTCTACATGGAGCCCCCTTCCAGGGCACACAACCACACTATCCAGGACGAGCATCCTCATGGTAATCCTCCTGCAAGCCCCCTCCCCACCAGGCGATGCCCCCAGAAGCCACAGATAGGGCGCGGAGCTCTCCGAGGGGCGCCACCTGGCCTAGCACAGTTTCTGGGTCCCTTGCCTTGCCTGAGTCATGGAGCTGGTGGGTTTGGTGTACGTGTTCTGTCTGTGCTTTGAGCTCTTAGACTCCGTTGTGCAAGGGCTCCAAATGCATCTGGGATCCGGGAGGCCAGTCTAGGAGTCAGCTGGAGAAGGCAGAGGACACCATCTGGAGGCTGGCTGTGCTCGTCGCTGCCACTACCCTGCTTCTCTTAGCTCTCCAAGCTGCCGGCCAAGAGACGTGTGTGTCTGCCAACCCATATCGCAAACATTCCTGTGTGTAGCCATCTGCATCTGTGTTAAGTTAAACATAATCCTGCAAATGTAACCACGGCATGGGTCCTTTCAGCCTCCCCCTGCTGATCCCTAAATTCCTACAACGGGTAGAAGCTCGGCTCCTGCTGCCCTCCAGCTCAGCTCCATCTGTTGAGTCTTTCAATTCCAGGACGTGTGGATAGCAGCCTGGGAATCATTATCCCAGCCCCCAAAACCAGCTTGTCAGCTAGGGGATCGAGCTAATGTGTGATTCCTTTACCTTTCCTCATATGTTTCTTACCAGAGTTTCTTAGGTCAGGATCTTTTCCCAGATTGCTACATGAGAGTGCATCACACATGTGTAATACATTTCGGTTCTCTCCTCACACTGTCTACGTTTTTCCTGTGGTCCCAAAATCTTACAATATTTTTCTAATTTGCACACATGAATATTCACTCCGTTTGTCATAAAGTTCTGCGTGTTTGGGCAAATACACAATGTCATGAGTTTGTGGTAACAGTATCACACAAAATAGTCTTGCCAGTCTAGAAATCTCGCATACTTCACCTCTCCATTGTCCTGCCCCCACCACCCCGTATCCCTGCCTAAAATTCTGGACCACCATTCAATCCTTTTACTGCCTCCCTAGCTTTTCCAGAATGCCACAGATTGGGAAGGAATAACCATTTTCAATCCTCGGGTGGATCTTCCACGCCCAGAACCACGCTGGATGTTCCAAGTTGATCGTTGTTAGTCCGACACACAAGGTAATAGAGAGGTAGTCCACGAAGAGGAAAAGCTAGTATTGTTGTCACTGTTATGCACAGACTTTCTAGCTCCCACCACTGGCCTTTGGGTCTACCCAGTGCAGATCCTCCATACGGACTTGCGTGAGACATTGCTGTGGGCTCCAGGCCTCTGGCTGGACTCATAGAGGACACTGCTGTGGGTTCTAGCCTGCAGCTGGACTTGTGTGGGTCCTTGCTGTAGGATCCAGGCCCTTGGGTGGATTCCTCAGGTCTCTTGCACTCCTCTGCATTTGACTTTTTGGGTGAACGTTATGAAATAGTCCTGTAAATCATGCGTCCTTGATAAAATCTATTTCCTTACAAACCCTAATTACAACACTTTGTCTTTAAATTCTTTCATAAAAGTTTTACAGTTTTCTTCAAATAGATCTTGTATATATTTTGGTAGATTTATACATAAATACTTCTCTTTTAGGTGTTAATAGAAATAGCGTTGTGTTTCAATTTCCAATTTCAGTGTCTCGCTGCTGTGTAATGACTTCTATATTCAGCCTTATATTTTGTGACCTTGGTAACATCACTTATTGGCTTCAGGGATTTATTTTTTATCAACTTGTTGAGCTTCTTAAAGCAGACAATTTTGTCACCTGCAGCCTAGAACTATTTTATTTCTTCCTTCCTAAGTCGTGTAGCTTTCAGCCTTTTTTCCCATTGGGTTGCGCTTGTGTGCAGTGTGTTGCACGGGATTTGTGAGTGGCGCACACTCATGTTGCTCCCAGTTTTAGGGGAATGTGCTCAGCTTCCCACCAATAAACATGGTGGCAGCTGTAGGTTTTCAGAGGCTCTGCACTGAGTTGAGAGAGCACCTCCAGCCCTACTGTGAGTGCAGTCTGCACTGTGGATGAGTAGGGCGTCTGTCCAACAGTTCTGTTCACTAATAGGAAGCATCATTGTTCCATCTCGGCTGACCAAGAGGTGGACTTTATTCCTCAGTCTGGAGGTGCTATATAGGGCTTCCATCCCCGGGATAAATCTGAGCTGGTACAATTATTTTTGTACATTGTTATGTGCAATTTGCTAATACTTTTAGGATTTCTGCACCTACATTTATGAGAGAGATTAATCTATAATTTTCCTCTTTGTAATATCTTTGTTTAGCTTTAGCAATAAAGTAATGCTGGGCTCATAGAATTAGTAAGGAGTCGCTCTCTGTGCCTCACTGTCTGTGATATTGTAAAGTATCACTGATAGCCTTTCTTCTGAAATGGTGGGTAGAACTCACCACAGGAACCAATCGAGTCTGGTGCCTTGTTTTTTTGTTTGTTGTTTTTTTAAAGTTTTTAATTCTTAATTCAATTTGCTTAATCTGTTTCTCCTGTATGAATTTTGGTAGTTTTTATCTTTCAAGTGTTTGGTCTATTTCATCTAAAGTATCGGAATTTTATCCTTGTTTTTAGAAAATAAAGTGAAGTATAAATAAACAAGGATGTTCCGTTTCACAACCATTCGTTTCAACATACTCAAGTCTAGATTTATTTTCTTTCACTGTTCTATGTTGCCTCAGAACACATAAGTATCTTATTTCTTTTTCCTTCTCCTGTGCCTTTAGTCTCTTGCTACCTATCTTCTTGGCATCTGATTTTAAATAAGTACAAAGCTCTTTTGTCTCAAGAAAACCTTTACTCTTTCATGGCTACCGTGTTCATTGCTCTCTTTTCACCCTGTCTTCTGGCGCGGTTGCCAGTCCCTCTCTTTCGGGTTCAAACAGAAGTCCCACTTGTACACCAGGATGCAGAATTCCACCGCCCGGCTAGTGTTTTAACCCCACACAGGCCACAGAGGGCCACTGTTGTCACTCACGGCCGCACCCCTTGGCCAGCACCCAGAGCACCCCCCTCTGCCCACTGACCTCCAGAGGTCCCCATCTCTGCTCCAGAAGTTTGTGAACCCGCATTTTTCCAATGTAGTTAATTACACCTCCAGCCCTCACTCACACAGAGCAGCTCTCCACGGTCCAGGGGATATTTCCACTAAACAAAAGCTTGAGGCACCAGCAAAGGTGACATTTGTCATCAATGCTTTAGTTTGTGGATGGCATGGCAATCACCCTCTTGGACACTGACCAGTGTGCTGTATGTAACTAGTGTTTCTTCCTGCCCTACGATGCCTTCTCTTCCCAGGGCCCATGAGCATGGAGCGTGGGGACAGTTGGAGGTGGGACTGTTAGGAGGAGAGCAGGAAGGCAGGGTCTGTGCCACACCCAGCCTCTGTCAGAACTCACTTCCTCAGCACTGGTGCAAGCAGGCGTGATCGACTTCAAGAATATGGACTGTGTCGTCTGCAACGAACGAGCGGTATATTTTGAAGCCCTCATTTCCAGAAGCTGATTATTTATTCCAAAATTTTGTTTTTGACATTTCCAGTTCTCCTCTGAAAATCATTTTTTGGTTGCTTATTTCTCTCAAGACCACACTGAAATCCATGTCCTTGTGAGAGCTGACCCCTCCTCTTCCCCTCACTCCCGCTCCCCAGCTACAAAGGAGCCCACCCTGTTTCTGCTGAACTAAGCCACTTAAACTTCTGCATTAGAGGAGCTACAAGAAACCCATGCACCTGCCCAGGGGTCAGGCTATCTGTGGGTAAGGCTGACCACGGGTAAGGCTGTCGGTGGGTAAAGCTGTCTATGGTAAGGCTGTCTATGGGTAAGGCTGTCTGTGGGTAAGTCTGACCACTGGTAAAGCTGTCCATGGGTGAGGCTGTCCACACATAAGGCTGTCCATGGGTAAGGCTGTCCACAGATAAGCCTGGCCATGGGTAAGACTGCGCCATGGCTCTCAACTGGAGTCCAGTCCTAGTTCCCATGCAGAGGGAAACCAGTGTTCCCTTCCCACATATGGGCCACAACATTTCTAAAAAGTAAGGATTTAACTTAGGAGAGTGAAGCTTAACTCATCCTGACCAGATGATGCCTCTTTGGGGAAGGGAAAATTTAGAAAGACACAACTTGGCTCAACCTGTCAGGTGAACCCACCTTGTCCCTGCTGGCCCAATCACCCCTCCCTGGAGCTCCCCAACCCAGAGCCCTGTGTAGAATTGAACACCCAGGACAGCCCTGGCTGGGCCACTCTGGGACTTGTATCCCAGGTGTGCGGTTGCTGAAGACAATAAACTCTCAGTTCAGATTTCGTCATGGCTGGCCTTCCTCATTTAGCTGTGGGTCTTCTTTGACCTAACAGTTCTTGGGTTGTTTTCGTAGGCTGACCATCCTGGTAGACTATTCTGCTCCCTGTACCTTCCTGGGGCATGAGTATAATTAAGTTTTGGGGCTCACCTTCCCTCTGTGGCAGCATATCCTAAAGTCTTTGGCATGATCTTTCTTCCAGAAACTTCTGTGAACTGATGTTATAGCTGTTTCTGGATGTCTCCCAAAATCCTCATGTGGTCATAGGTGGGCTTTTCAGAGGTGGTGGATCTGGAGTATGTGATGCTGGGATCAAGGATGTGATGCTGAGTTGATCCACTGATTGGTCTGGGATAGTTCTGGGCAGGATTAAGGGGCCCCCACCCTGGCTGTGAGTGTGAGGTTGGGTAGCATTAGAGACAGAAACAGGGTTGGTGCTTGTTGCTAGCTTGCGTTTGCTGCCTTCTGCCTGCCATGGACCATTTCTCCTCTGTGCTGCCTCTCTGCTGGGGCACCTGCCTCGGAGCCAGCTAGTTATGGACTGAAACCTCTATAGGCTGTGAGCTAAGTAAACCCCTCCTCATTTAACTTTGGGTGTTAGGTGTTTTGTCTCAGCAGTGAGAAAAGTAGCTAAGACATCTGATGATAGTTATTAACAGACAGCCCAGAAGAGTTCACAGCACCTGCAAAATCAGACACACCCCACGGCCTCTGTCATTGCTCTGCACTTGGACTAAGAATTTAGGAAGCATTGTCCCAGGAAAATAACTGGCTTCAGTCTCTGTTGTCCCTAATAGTTTCAAATTATCATATGTTCACTTTTTGTTAAAACCCAGAATTCTGTCACTTAAAAACTAAATTGACTTGTTTTTTTCTCATTTTTTTTTTCAGTGAGACACTTCCAAACATGAGCAGAAAATGGATTTGACCTTGAAATCCGGTAAGTTGCTTTTCACATAAAATATGGTCCTGCAGGCTGCTCAAGACAGAGCTCTCAGCTCTGTTTTTTGTTTTTGTTTTTGTTTTTTTGAGATACTGGGATCTAAAAATTTTATTTAAAATTCTTCCAATTGTATCTTACGCATAGTAAGTACACAGTATATATCAACTGAACTGAAAATAAATAGTCTATAAGATGTGCTTGCAAAATGTGTAATGCTGTAGTAGTACAGTACAAATTTCAAATATGAGGTATTGTCTATCAGATTGTTTAAAAGCCTTTAGAAATATGATATGCACCAGCTTGTCCTGAGGGAAAAGTAAGACGGAATAAAGTTAATAAAATCTGTACCTATAAAACTCTGAGCTGGGCATGGTGGTGCACACCTGTAATCCCAGCACTCAGGAAGCTGAGGCAGGAGGATCACTGTGAGTTCGAGACCAGCCTGGGCTACATACTGAGTCCCAGGTCAGTCTCAACTACATAGTGAGACCCTGTCTCAAAACAAAACAAAACAAACAAACAAACAAACAAAAAACTCTGAGCCATATAAATATCTTTACAAGTCAATCCAAGGATCTGCAGTCTCAGTAACAGAAAGAACACATGCACACTTACACACTCACACACATGTGCCACGCATGTGCACACACACACATACACGTGACTGCTTATCTGTTTGATTTTTCTGTACTCAAATGCTTTTCCAGATCTGTGTTTATGGAATCACTAAGTCCTGGGTTCGAGAGGTGAACAGGAAGTCACTAGCATGTTGAGTGCCCACTGAGACAGTGTATTTGTGTGGAGGACACAGGGTCCCCTGAAGCCAACATTGGAGCCTGCCTTGGTCACGACAAAGTGCACAACTTTGAATGAAACCCTTCACTTCCTGGACATCTTTTCATGGAGTCAAAATATAGCACTGTACGTGACAGTGTCTAACATCACGGGTTTCTGAGGCTGAATGACATGGAATTTTGAAGTCCTGGGCTCCTCCCCAGTGACTGGTCAGGACGATTGTTCAGCCTCTACAGTCCAGCAGGTGTGGACTGCACCTCATGGTTTGCACTTAGAGGAATATAACTCAGTGAAAAGCACACGATGGCTGGGATTTAGCTCAGTGGTTTCCCCACATGCCTCATGAGCACAAGGTCCTGAGTTCGATCCCCGCTACCAAAAAAAAAAAAAAAAAGAAAAACGCACAAGAGAAATGTGGACAGCCAGTGCCAAGCTCTTCTTGTCCATTGCTCATTTTAGTTTTAGTTACAAACCAGGAGAAGCCAAGCTTGAGGTTTCAGCAGAAAGGTAATTTCTGTCCACCATCGTGAGCACTGCCAAGGACATAGAGGGGCCCTGTGGTCCCCTAGGAGAAGCCCTGTCGCCAGCATGGCTAAGTTTTGCAAGGGGAGGGTTGGAACTCTTGGTCCTCCTGCCTCAACCTCCCAGAGTGCTGGGGTTACATTCAGGCCCCCAATGCCTGGCTTCCCACAGCTTTTTAAAGCAGCATTTTTAAAATTTTAAGTGTTGTGGGTTCTATTTTTTCTTTTATTTTAGATAAAGCTAAGTACCTGCTTGCACTGTTTGCTTGTGTTGTTGCTGTTACTCCTGCAGTGTCAGAGCTGCATGCACTGCTGTCCTTCCCTGCCCACACCATCGCTCCTGTACCCTGGAGGCCTCTCTGCCTCCACCAGTGTGGATGGCAGGCTGCTGGGTGCCACACCTCCTGCAGGCTGGCTGTCCCTTCTCTGTCTTCCACGCCCCTCCCTGTCCCTGTGATTATTGGTGATCATGCTTCCTTCTTTGGAGTCGATTTCTTTGTGTTGCAGAAGACATTCCTCCAGAGCACACAGGGAGGTTTGATGTCTCGCTCTTGTAAGTGGGAGGAGGTGCCTTGTCACTGTCTATGACTGGGCCGGGAGCCCTGGGTCCCAGGGCACCACAGTGAGGACCTTGAGGACAATGGTTTTGCCCTTGGCATTGGCCCTTGGGTTTCTCTCTCTAGAAGTTTTGAGAATCTAGTTCACCTTGGCATTCACCATGGTGTATTTACTTTTGGATTTGCTTAAGGATATTTTTCATTTGTTTTATTATTTTTTGGGGGGGACCGGGGATCAAACTCAGGACCTTGCGCTTGTGAGGCAGGTGCAGAGCCACTAAGCTAAATCCCCGGCTCCATTTGTGTTATTCTTAATGCTATTAATTAGCTAAATAAAAATCGATGAACTTATGTTTGTTCTCCTCCATTTTGCTTAGATCTATGGAATCTTTTCGTTTTGTATTAAATACAGCAGTACCTCGGTTCATGAGCTTGATTCCTGCCACAATTCTGGTTGTGAGTTGGACAAGAACAGAATCAAATATCCCCACAAGGTCAACAGTGAGCCTAACCATGAATTTGACCTGGTTCTCGCCACCCTGGACAGCTCCTGGGGCCTGTGCTGCCACCAGCAGTGGATGGTGGTCCTGGTCCTGGATGCAGCCACCAAAAGCCCTGTCCTGGGCTCAAAGCCAGAGGTGGCCAGGCAGGGCCAAAGCTGGCTAGGGCCAGGTCTCAGGGCTGGTGTGCAGGGCAGGCAATGATGGTCCGGTCTCCGCCCCTGGGGAGAACCAGGTTCTGCCCTTGGAGAGGGTGGGTTTCCCAGCACAGCAGATGAGGCCAGCACCAGAGAGCCAGGAGCAGCCGCCAGGGCCATGCAGGGCAGGAATGGGCAGCTCAGGAACACACAGAAGTCTGGTTAGGCAGATGCTGTAAAAGTGTCTAGCGGCTCTGTGTCTCCTTGTGGATGGGTTTGTGTTAGTCATCCCCTGTGTGTAGCAGATCACCCTGAATCTTGCTGACTGCAAACAATCACCTGATATGATAGCAGGGTATCTGCAGGTAGGAATTTGAGTCTAGATGGTGTTTCTGGGCCAGGGTGTTGGTGAGGTTGCAGTCAGACTTGTGGTGGGTCTGGAGTATCTACTTACCGATCACAAGGTGGTGCCTCCCCTGGGTAGCCTCAGTGCCTGGGAGAGGCCTCTGATCCTGACCACAGAGAGCAAGGTCATCCTTCTGTGTACACCCAATAGCCCTGTGACCCCTAGTACTGCTATGTTACCTCTCCTGTGCTAAGAGACGGCTGGCAGATTAATAGAGCACAGTCCTGCTGCCCTGTTCCGCCCAGCCCTTCTTCCACACCGTTTCTGCTGTGGATTGAGTCTCCTGAAACTCTGAGCCACAGCAACTTCTCCTTTAGGGTGTGGCTGTCAGGTTTTGTGTCCCAGCAGTGGGAAAGCTAAGAAACACAGCTCTTCTCTGTTCTCCCTTCCACATCATTTTCCTCAGCAGGAAGTCACAAAACTACTAAGGAAATCAGTGGAGAGATTCCTCTAATAAGTGAGACTAGAAATTCCACTTGACCCCGCAATTTTCCTTCTAGGTATCTTCCCAAAAGAGCTAAAGACATTATATCACAGTGATGCATACATACCCATGTAGATAGCAGCACAGTTCACAGTAGCCAAATCTTGGAAGCAACCTATATGTCCATCAACACATGAATGGATAAAGGAAACATGGCATTTACACACAATAGAGTACTACTTTGTCATGAAGAAGGATAAGCTTGAGTAACTGGCAGGAAAATGGATTGCCTTGAGACCAGTGGTCAGTGAAATAAATGAGACACACCAGCTTTAATATTGCGTGGTTTCACTTATATGAGAAACCCAAAGTATAAGCAAACTAAGGAACAAAATAAAGGACAGATAATAGGAGATGGTGAGATAGATCTTTTGTAAATAGAAAGGGAACCAAGATATGGGGGTAGTGGGTAGAGAAGGGAGGGGAAGGAGTTGAATAAAGGAACTAAGATTAACTACACGCGTGTACCAATCTGCATACGGAATGAAACATTATGGACTGCAAAAACAGACTAACGATAACTTAAGAAAGAAGGCAGTCACCAAGGAGACCCCAACTTGCAAGGCTCTGCCTCAGACAGAACATCAAGAGCTGCAGGACATGCACTGCCTGGGCCATCGCTGTGGGCCACACTGACTTCCTGGGACATTCCTGCTGCTCATTTCTGTAGTGCATTCTGCCAGAGCCAAGTGATCAGGACCCCTCAGGGATGGTCACTGTATCTGCAAAACGTTCTGTGTTTGGAGAGTGGCATTCACCCTGGCTGGTGTCTCATCAGCACCAAAACCCACATCAGAGGTAGATGAGTGTTTGATCTTCTGTTCAAACTCCTGGATTACACAGGGTAGCAGGGGCAGATCACACAGTTAGGTGGGAGGCCTGGCAGGAGGAGACACCTTCCCGGAGTGCATAATATTCTAGAGACACAAACAGGAATAAATTTGGGATATAGCCTGTCAGGAGTGCCCAAGTTCAACTGAAAAGCCCCAAACCTTTATTAAGTCAAGAGCAGCTCCTGGATTGCTTGACAGGTTGAGAATTGTCTCAAGAACTCATTTTGCATCTGTAATATTTTCTTTAGTGAAGTGACCAAGTCTTCAACTTTTTCTTCTATGGATTTTTTTTTTTCTGGCCTAATCCAAGAAAACCAGGATTTCCTTGTTTTCTTCCAGCTGATTTAAAGTTTATGTTTCACAATTAGATCTACAAACCATTCTGAATTAATTTTTGTCCGAAGTGTGAGGACTGGGTTCAAGTCCAACATGGGCAGTGACTACACTGATAGATGGACCAGTGCATTGATGTTATAATTTACAACACGTTCTTTCTTTCCATTTCTTCTTTGTCTTGTCCCCTGTTTTGGGGGATCCTGGGCACCAGGTCTCCTTCCCAGAGAGGGGAGGAAATGCTGAGCCAAGCGGGGAAGAGTACTGAGAGCCAAGGTGCTGCAGGGTGGTCTGCATGGACAGTGGGACAGTGACCATTCCGGGACCCACAGCCTGGGCACACCTGGCCGGTGAACACCTGAGCACCCAGTGCAGAAGTCATGGGCAGCCTCTGCTGGATGGGTGCAGGGTCTTTGAGAGCACAGAGTTCAGGGGCAAGGCTAGTGTGGGCCATCGCAGTGACCCTGTCCCCAGCCTGGGCAGGGACTGGTGGGGGGGACTCAGCAGGGGCCTGGCAGTGGCCCAGAGCCCACCATCTGCGGGAAGTCAGGCGTCCTGGGAAGGGGTCTTGACCTCTCCCCTCTCATCTTGGAGCTGTAGTCCCAAAGGTGGCCTCAGCCGTTCTGCCTGCGTAGGGAGCCGGTCAAGCAGGCACTGCCCCGTCCCGGGCTTTTCATCCTTTCAGCACTGGGGCTGGAACCCAGGGCTTCACACCTACTGCACCCCCAGCCCCTTTTATTTTTGACCCAGGAGCTGGCAAAGTTCCTACAGTGGCCGGCTGGGGTCTTACTTGCCACCTTCTGCATTAGCCTCCTAGAGTGCTGGCAGCACAGGTGGGCTAGGTTTGCCACCCTGGACACAGGGCTTCGGTCACCGGGAGCGGTCCGGAGGAGTCTTTCGCTCCAGGTATAAGATTCTTCAGTCTCCTGGGTGCTGTCCGAGTCGGAGCTGGGTCCTCAGTTGAGCCCGGGCTGCTTCACTTCCAACTCCAGGGACAGGGAGTGGGCAGACACTCTGGGCGGGCGCAAGGGCACCAGGCCCAAAGGGAGTAGCCCGGCGTGGGTGGGCGGGGCCTCGGACAACCAGGGGCGGGGCTAGGGTCCGGGCGGGGGCGCGGACACCTATGGGTGGGGCCCGGAGTGG